GCCATTGTATCACGGCACCGACCTGGCGGAACTGTAAAAAAAAACACTCTTCCCCCCAAAACTTACTACCGTCATTCGATACTCTTGTTCTTCCCATCTTCCATTGTCACCTTATTGAGCACTGCTTAAAAGACGAACACTTGGGATGAAAGACTCGACAATCACAAGCGCGAACTTTCAACTGAGTTTGTTGGACAAACACATGATGCTTTTATGCAATCGCGTTTCATGGTTAGATGAAACTCGATTACATTAATGAATCAATGAATGAGCCAACTCGCGAAAGAAAGTCCCTTACAAGTTATATTCTCATCTCCCCTCCGCCCTTGCAAAGTAGCAGGCAGGAGCAGAATATCGCACAGGCCGACCACTGCACCTTTCTGTAAATAAACCTGTTTTTTTTTTCATAAGTAAATTATGAAATGCCAGCAACGTTGCTTACGCCACTCTGCCGCAACTGGTAAGAACGTATTGCCGAGCACTCTGCCTCGACAAATGTCTAGTACATTACTACCAAGACACGTGATCAAATTGTAATGACCGGAATTCGGGCACACTGTGTCACTATGGAGTCGTGGGAAGTGTCAGATGGTTACTCTGTCTTGTTGCAGATCCGTCCGTAAGGGAATGCAAACTCTACTACGCTGATGAAAATTGCGTTGTGGCGGATATGGAATACAATGGTCACCGTAAGTTTTCTCCGAATGCGTTAGGTTCATTCATGAACATAGGAGTTCTGCACAGGAGCTCTTTCTATATGAGGAGAGCGTCGTTCAATGACGTCTTCTTAAGACGGTAGCTCACTGTAAAATGCTTTGTTATGCGGGTTTAACGCACATTCAGCGCATCTCAAAGAACCTGGCGACCACAGCTAAGTTTAAACTGACATCGCAAAGCCAATGATAACCTGACAAACTCAGCCAACACAAGTGGCTTTCGCCTGAACGGACGAAAAGTTGCTTGTCTGTTCACAGCTTGGCTATTTTACCCAGACTGCCACCTCTTCGCGAGCAATCTAAAAGAAAACATTTATGAAGTATTGTAATTGCGTCGTCAAATTCGTTGTTGTAACTTTTTACAAAATTACCGGTGACAGGAGCAACTCAGGCAGCCCTGAAATAAGTCTCGCAAGATGATGCCAAAAAGTTTGAAACGTGTAAACACTTTCAAACAAAAAGTCCCATGCTGCGTTGCCTCCCTGAATATTATAGTGTAGTTGGGTTCTAAAACTAGAATGGATCGACTGCCCGTACCTCTGTGGAGGAGGAAAGAATAGGCGGAAGGACAGGAAGGTTAGGACGGTTCTTAGACCGGCTGGCTACCTAGTGTACCTTTGTGGACTACATAGCATATCAATGACGAGAACGTGCGCCGCTTCATCTACGTACAGTGTCGATTGTTATGAAAGTGAACACTGCGACACGTGGCCAGCGCGCTCCGGCGGCCGCTGGTCATGCGTTAAAGCGGTAGTGATAGCAACCACAGTCTCTTTTCGCGTCATCTCGCCGTGAGCAAAACAACCATTCGTTGCTGATATAGAACAGTAAACTTGCAGCCCCTCCACCTTCAAGGTGATTACCTGCTCTCTCATGATATCCCTGAAGGGGGAGGGGGTCGCAATCTTGCCGCTGGTTCCGTATCAACAGCGAATGGTTTTTAAGTTCGCCGCGAGATGATGCCAGAAGAGACTGCGGTTGCTATCACTACCGCTTGAACGCTGCTGCCAACAGCCGCCTGAAGCACGCAAGCCGTGCGCTTCCCGTGTTCGCTTTCATAAAAACTGACACTTTACACATTTTCCAAGATATCATAATTAAAATAACCCAGAGACTATTCTTTTTTTACCATTCCGCATTTCATGTGCATATTTCGAATTGAAGAAACTACGCCGGTTATCAGCAATCTTGCTGATAGAGTCTCCAATTCCTGTTTAATAATGTCACAGATACTTACTCGTTACATGATTGTGTAACCAATGTAAGAGTGCAGCATATACACACAGGATCGGCAGAAGTCGTAATACAGATGTCGCTAACTCTGTTCTCATTGTACGAAAGAAATATATTTATGCGCCACACCTACCCGGCAAACACTCCTAGATTGCAGCGAGGTGGCAAATGCCTATGGTATTCTTGTGATGCCATTAAACGAAAATTAACACAGCAGAGAAAAAAACTTTGTATACAAGACATTTCCTTCTGTCTACAATATATTCTTCCCCTAGTCTTCTTTTACAGCGAAAGCATATAGTAACATATAAAGTTAAGAGAGGACACTCCGATAGGCGCCTAGTGGATTATTTATTTATTTCGATTTATTTCGATTACCCTCAGGGCACATAAAGGCGTTACAGAGGGGTGCAGCGCTGAGAACGCGTGTTGGGAATCTTCGCAGCCTCAGAAATTGAAGGCCACAAAAAAGTATGTCTGGAAGGCCATTTTTATGTAGTGATCAGCAATATTATACAGCCTCTAAGGCCACTTTTACGTGCGTGCTGGCCTGTGTAGCCATACTTTAGTTTTATTAACGCGTAGTTTGCATGCATTTATGAGCTTCGTGTAAGCTGCACCACTAGAGCAGCAAGCACACGATGCCAATGTCTGGCTATGTACACATTCTAAATAAAACGTGAGAATTATTGGAAGAGCGAAAACTGTTATTAGCAAGTTGTATTTTAGGTAAACACATGCTAACTTTGTTAACGCTTCATAAACGCCGGCACAAAGAGAGGTTCATCGCACTGCGAGACGTCGAAATACAACTTCCATATCATTATTATAAGTTCCACACATATATAAACATATAAGCAACAATATAACAACATCCGCAGAAAAGTAAAACTGCAATAAAGGCACACAACTATATATACAGTGCACAACGCGACACGCCAGTAGTTGCCTCAGCACTTCACGCCGGCATAAACCGAGAAAAGAAAAAAATTGTTGTCTACGTTTCCTTCAGGACTTTCGCTATAATTTTCTCATACACACTTTACATCGCTCTTTCGCAAAAACAGTAACTAACACTCACTGTTTTTTTTTTCAAACAAAGCAAATTTAGGTGTCATGCAAGCCGTTAACAAGGCGGGAGTGTTTATTTTCAGATTACGTCCTATAGCATTGGCTAGCAAACATTTTTCTGAATTCACCACTTCTCGCTTATTACGCTCGTTAGAGATTCAATCAATTCCCGAACGGTATAGATAATGATATTGAGCATAGCTGCACATTGCACGAAATCTCACTCACGCAGTGAATTCTAATACATATAGCGGCACAAATAAAACCTAACAACGGGAGGGGAGACTCAATTTCTTGAGCCAAGAAACAACTGTCTCGCAAACGTGCTGCGAAGCATTTGAAACAGTTTTTTTTTTTCGTGTGAAGCAATCCACAAAACAGTACGCGAAATGAAACAGCACAATGCCATAAATTTTAGGTTAAAGCTTCAATGACAATTACAATACCCACTTAACAAAGTATTGCTGGCGTTCATATTCCTAGCAGCGGCGAACATGAGAGCCAGACAAAGAAAGTAAAGACCTTGACGCATGCCGCGCAAGTTATCGCACATATTTTATGGCATCTTCCTGCTGCTGCACGTACTTCTTCATTGCCGTAAGTGATCGCGAACCCGGAGCGTGAAATGTGCACTTCACAAGCCATGTGCACTTCTCTCGCATCCGATACATGCCTGATCTTAGCCCGACGTTATCGCACCGTACAATCACAGACGATAATGATGGATTCAGGCCACTGTAACATACGCAAAGACACGTAGATGTATAATGCACTAGAAAAGGTATTGTAGTAAATAACTAGTACGAGTGTTTCCTTGAAGCAGTGAGTGGTGTGTTGCCACCTTACGGCTAGAGGGAAGCTGCGTACCTCCGCCGCTTTTTGGCTCGAGTGACCACTCTTGTAATTTTTGTGTTATTCTATGGCGAAAGCTGTTATGAGATCAGAACATGAGTCATGTGTGGCGTCGTGTTTGTCCGCCACCGCCGCCGCTGGCACTGGTGTTCATAACCAGTATCGCAAAAAATAAGAAAAAGTAAGAGAAGAAAAACCACCAAGGACGCAATGAATTTGAATCAAGTTCCGCTGCGTGCCAGCACAGTATTCTGCCGCGCGGAACTCGTTGCTAAACTAGCCCTAGGCAGGCCTAATGTCGGGAAAGGACTCCCGATAATATGAGTAATAAGCTGTTTCAAAACAATAAAGGAACAACCTGGCGTCACACAATGCAACTTCCGTAACGAGTGAATCGTCCAATGCTCCAGCCAATTAGAAAACTTGTTTCTTATTACCTATTCAATGTGGCGCACATCCGCTTCGGGCATAATTTTTCATCGTCGTCAGCCACAGCATGACGAAATCGCACAACATTTCTAGCAAGTGAGTATAGCAGACACCACACTCATCCGAAGAATGACGAAGGATATATAGCATAGTGAATGCTGGCCTACTACACAAAAATTATCATCATTTATGGTGTGGTTGGTACCCAGCAATAGTACTTGCTGCAGTTATCTAAATAGTGCTTTGAAAAAGGCTCTGAAAGGCTACTCTTCCAGATTTCGCTGTGAGTGTGCTGCGCGTTTCATGCAGGCCGAGCGTTTGTTTTTTTTTTTTTTGTTCACGCAAGAACTTTCCAATGATGCCAAACTAACAGCCAATGCATCTGCATATTACGCATTGGGGGCTATTCAGTTGTCTCTCTGTGCATTGTCAGCGTAATCTTGCATTGAGGAGTGTTTCGTCAAAGGAGTTCACTTAAGGTAAATAGTGTAGCGCGCTAAAGAGACAAGCAAATTTTTAAAAAATGTATAATTGTATAAAGTTGTCACAATTTCGTTTGAAACGCCATGAGAACTCCTTTTTATACTTTTTAAACAGATTCTATGGCATTGATCATTTTAAAAGCGTTTTACTTTGCTCACTTCACTGCACATAATGCAGATTGACATCTTCATCATTACTTATGCATTTCTTTTGTAGAGTGCATCCTCTGGATCCGGCGACGTCTTAAGGACACCGTACCGCAAGTGTGCAAGGACGAATTTGTCGACACGTGCGGCGTTGTGATCGCCCCCCACAGAAGAGACTTGTGCGATGACGGCGAGGGTGATTACTAAATTGCAATAAAGGGAATTCTAAACCAATCATGCAGTTTTCCAAAGCAGCGCCCTGAAATGCACCATCCTTGCCTTCAGGCTACTCGAATTTGAAAATTACGATCTTACACACCTGCACATTTTGGTAAAGTAATAGTAATAAATCCCATGGGTTTGTGTTATGGTTGCGATATCACTGATAAATTAATGATCTGTTGAATGCGAGCTCAACTACAACTATAATACTTAAAGAAGCTTATTTTTCAACACATCCGAATAAACCCTGCAAAAATGCCGAATTGATTTGTACTACGACAAAGATAATCAGTTGGATGTTGCCAGCGCACATGCGATTGGTAATGAGGGCTATGAGCACAGCGACTTGACTCTGTACGTAGTCTGTAGATGAACTCAATGCAGTGCATGGCGGCCGCCTTCCTACCAGGGCGTAACGAAAGCACCCTGGCGTAACGAAAGCACCCGAAACCACCCTGATAATCAAGGTGGCAGGCTAGTCAAGCTATCGGAAGACAGCTTTTATTCGCCCCTTCTTTGTTGCGCAAATCCACAAAAATAATCGTGAGTGATTGACCTATTGGCACCCGTGAATGCCCCAAAAAAGACGGGGTGTCACGAAGTCAAAGTATTTGAAAGCGCTATAGCAATTTTCTAGGATGCAGCTGCCTACAATAGCGTGTGCTTTGTGCGCCTAGTACTTTTTCATCCAACCCGAACAAAAAACAAGAAAAGAACAAATACAAGAACTTAAGTGGAGGTGAGGGACAAGGAGGGGAAAACACACCAAACTGGTTGGGGGACAAAAAGAAAGTACAAGCAGACAAGCGTCGGGTAACGGTGGTGGTTTCACGTTGAAGAGGTTCGAGAGAATGCAGCTGTTTCCCTGGATTCTGTTAGTGAAAGTTGAGCATACTGCATCACGGTGATGAGTGCGGATCGACATACCTAGAAGAATAGCTTTATTCCCACTGGATATCATTGTGAACCTACTGTATTGGATGATTTATGAGCCCCATAAACGCCTTTATGAATGAAGCTGGTGATCGTTCAGTTCATAGTAACAACTAAAAAACTTGTGGTTTTCGTACTTGCATGATTTACATGATGTACTTTTGGACCTCTTCAGACCATTCAGTGATAAGTATAAGGCATACTTATTAGTCCAAGCAAAAAAAATAGCCTGAGATTGAAATAAAAGAAACCAAAATGTTTGGGCACAAAAGTTGAAAGGTTTGTGTTACGTTCGTATTTGTTTACCAGAAATATGCAGGATTTGTGATGAAAGGGCAACACTTGCCGCATATTATGGAAGTGCTCGAGTTTAGACGACAAAACCGACAGAAACCACCAAGCGTCAGTCTCGAACAGCAGGGTGCGCTGAGGGGCCTATGAGGAAGATCTATCTGCTCAGCTCTGCATTTGCACAGCATGTGTGGGTCTTGCAGGGAGCCGAGGACGCCACCCGAGCCTGAAAGCTCACGGCCATTGCCTAGGCCGGAGCTGAGGCCTGCTCACAATCCAATTTGCTGGGCGTTATTAGTAAAGTTCTTCTTCGGAAGGTAAGCACAGTAGAATGCAAAACTTTGTGCATGTGTGACGAAGTATTGGAAGCATGTTATCTCATGGCACTATTCAGAAGCTTCGTCCTATTGAATTGGAACAAGAAAAGAGTTGTATTTTGCATCTCGTGTGCCATTCTTTCGAAGACCCCTGCAGCTGTGTTTTTAGAAGAATAGTTCGTTGATTTAGAGTATGATTTACTTTGCTACAGGGAAGGCAATAACTTATCCCATGCAGACTGACTGTAGAATCTCTAGCAATGATCGGCAAATGTGTTAGAGCAAATGTGCGACCATTTAGAGTTTGCGGAACACTACTATGGTAAATCATTGCGCTAACTCGTAACAAGGGGTCATGGGACACGCTGGCTTCATTGTATGGTGTGGCAATCGATTGGCGAGCAAATCACGTCCAACCCCTATTCATTCAATTATTCGTTAGAGCACAGGTTCACGAACTCTAAAAAAATTTTTATTGCATTCCCATCTCTAAAACATCTCTAGTTTTATCACGGTACCAAATGACTTTTTGAATGAAGGCATAAGCTTTATACCTGAAAACATCACATTTAGCGTTCATCACACTTGCCTTAACAAAAACGCACCGTGAGCTGAGCTAGCCATGACACGAAAAGTTTTTTCGGTTACATGTGGCTTAATAATTTCCTTGACAAAAGTACCGGAAATGCAAAAAAATCACAGCATATCCACGCAGTGAATGATAATGAGTGTGGCGGAGCATCTGTCAGTCCATCCGTCCGTTTGGCCCGTCTATCGCTGTGTCTGTTGGCTCGACGCCACCGGCGTCGACGTCGGCGTTGCCGTCACTGATCGTATATATATATATATATATATAGGTGAGATCTAGCAGACAATGATGCCAAGGAATGCCTAAGGCACAGGGGAAGTTATTAGAACCAATGTAATGTAAATAATAAGAAAAAGAGTGGCTGAAAATTGAGGGACTTTGTACACTCGCCGCTGCGGCTACAGATGGTACTGACTAACAATCCCACGTTGAAATTGACATACAAACCCAAAACGTTGCTGGAGGGATGGCCGCCGTGATAGCTCAGTGGCTAGACCATTGAAGACTTTATTCGAAGGTCGTCAATTCGATTCGCTGCTCACGGCAAGTTATTTTATCAGCCACTTTTCATTAATAATGTGTCAAAACTCGGAAAAACGAGCCCTTTGGTATACTCTTCTTTCCCTTATATATTGTCATGGGGTCGTGACGTGGCCGAAGACAGGAGACTTTATGTTGGGATTTAACTGTTTATTTGGGCGAACCTGTGCCCGGTAAACGGAAAGCTCAATTACAGTACCAGTCTTGCACAGATAGCAGTGAACGGAGCGTCGGCCGTCGATCAACTACTGGCAAGCGGCGAAGCGCGTCGGCATTTATACTCTTGTCATCGAATATTCTAGCGTTATCGCTGGTGGTGGCGTAGGTTCCAGAATAATCTGTACAGTTCGTAGAGTAGGCGTGATCTTATCGAAATGATCTACTACAGTCCGGAAGCTTCTCGAAAACTGCAGGCGCGGTTTGCGCTGAGAATTGTGTAGTGTTTTGGGACGATAACAAAACTTGGGAAATGGAACGTGGCATTTTTTCCTCTGAAAAAGGCATCGTCCCGATGCTTTCACTAAAGATGAAGGTACAACAATGATGCAAGAAAGTACAATGAATAAATTACGATACAATAATAATACAAAAACACTGGTTCAGCTTGTCGACGCGCATGGAAAGGCTTGAGGCACGCGACATGGACGACATCAGGTCGCGATCGGCGTCGTTGAGAGTTCGTGATGCCGTCGGGGACAACCTCGTAATCAAGTGGGCCAAGACGCCGAACCACCCTGTACGGTCAGAAGTATCGTCGCAGAAGCTTTTCACTTAGTCCACGTCGGCGTATCAGCGTCCACACCCAAACACGTTCACCGGGCTGGTATTCCATGAAGCGTCATCGAAGATTGTAACAGCGGCTGTCGGTCGTCTGTTGACTCTTGATACGGAGACGCGCGACTTGTCGGGCTTCTTCAGCGCGTTGAAGGTACTCACTCACATCGAGGTTTTCTTCGTCGGTGACGTTGGGTAACATGGCATCGAGCGTCGTTGCCGGGCTCCTTCCGTAGACCAATTTGTATGGAGATATCTGCGTTGTCTCCTGCACCACCGTGTTGTATGCGAAGGTCACGTACGGAAGAATGGCGTCCCACGTCTTGTGTTCGACATCGACGTACATTGCCAGCATGTCGGCGATCGTCTTGTTAAGCCGCTTGGTAGACCGTTGGTCTATGGATGGTACGCTGTCATCTGGCGGTGATTTTGTCTGGTTGTATGCCAAGATCGCTTGAGTTAAGTCGGCAGTAAATGCCGTTCCTCTGTCGGTGATAAGGACCTCCAAAGCGCCGTGACGTAGGACGATATTTTCGACAAAGAACTTAGCTACCTTGGATGCACTGCCTTTGTAAAGGGCTTTTGTCTCGGCGTAGCGGGTGAGGTAGTCGAAAGCTACCACGATCCACTTGTTTCCGAAAGCCGACGTCGGGAACGGCCCCAGTAGGTCCATACCAATCTGCTGGAAAGGTCGGCAAGGTGGTTCAATTGGCTGCAGAAGTCCTGCTGGCCTTGTCGGCGGTGCCTTGCGTCGCGGACAATCCTGGCATGTCCTCACATAACGAGTGACGTCGGTGGTAAGACGTGGCCAGTAGTACCTTTCTTGTATTTTCGCGAGCGTGCGAGAAACACCGAGGTGCCCTGCCGTCGGATCGTCATGCAGGACCTGCAGGAGTTCTTGTCGCAAAGGTGATGGCACCACAAGGAGGTACTTAGCTCAAAGCGGTGAAACGTTTTTCTTTTGTGGAAGACCATTTCAAAGGAAGAACGACGCAAGTGCGCTGGAATACCATCGGGACTTCGGCGGTCCTGCCTTCGAGGTATTCTATTAGGCCTCAAATTCCGGGTCAGCCCGCTGTCGTTCCGCGAAGTCGTCGGTAGTTATCGTTCCCAAGAAGTAGTCGTCATCGGGTCGTCGTGTGGTGGTTGGTCGACAGGTGCACGAAAGAGACAGTCGGCGTCGGAGTGTTTCTTGCCGGACTTGTAAATGACAGTAATGTCATATTCTTGAAGTCTCAGGCTCCATCATGCGAGGCGACCTGAAGGGTCCTTCAAGGTGGCTAGCCAACAGAAGGCGTGGTGGTCGCTCACAACTTTGAAGGGCCTGCCGTAGAGATAGGGGCGAATTTTCAACGTAGCCCAGATTATGGCGAGGCACTCCTTTTCTGTTGTGGAATAATTGGCTTCTGCTTTGAAAAGCGATCGGCTGGCGTAACTAATAACCCTTTCAAGTACGTCAGGCCTTTGCACAAGAACGGCGCCAAGACCTACGGTGCTTGCATCAGTGTGTATTTCTGTCTCTGCGAATTTGTCGAAATGGGCAAGTAATGGAGGCATCTGGAGGTGGTGCT